GACGACAAACTTCCAATCCAACCACATTCAATAGATCATTGTAAATGGATTTGCTTTCAACGTAAAAGCTAAGACTAAAATTGTTAAGACTGAAACTTAACCACTTGGTTTCTTCATACGTATAGTTACTTTGGTTGATGACTGATAAAAATTTTACTTCCTTCCAACTACGTCTAAAGAAAGTTATATGAACGAAAAGCCAGATGAGCAACTTTAAATGCGTTTTAGATTCCTACAATTGACGTCATCACTAAGTTTCTGTTCTGATTGATTAACATTGATATTTATATTAATGCCATATTGAGCTGCTCCATATTGAACTGTTCCAACCATATTATGATTGATACTGTTCATTACGGCGGCGCATCTAATTATAGCCGTCTACTTCTGGCTTGAAATTTTTGCACTAATGACTTTGGGAATGCACGATCCGTATGATATACCTATCAATGTTGATTAAGAACAACCTTCACTAGACTTAAATAATTTCTTTATGCATTGTGTTATGAATTTAGAATGCATTTTTAAATATAATAATTTAACAATTAATGTTCTTACTTGAAGAAATTACTGGATGTCAATAAAATAAAATCGTAAAACTATCGGTATTGTTGCTAAACAAAATAATTGTTCTTCTTTCATTAAATCTATGTATAATGCAAATGTCTACTGACTGTGGTATTAGGCAAATCATCAACCAATAAAATTTAGTGAACCGATCTATATTGCTTAGTTATTAATTCAATGATTTTAAAGCTTTAAGGTGTCGGTGACTTCAAGTTACGGAATTTATTATGTTGAAGCGTGTTGAGCCTTTGTCTGTCACTATGAACTTGAAGATTACTATACGAAGTAAGAAATGGTGAAATGGTTTGAGCCCTTTGTAGCTGCGTAACTATAGATACAAATGGTGCTGCATGTTTGGTGAACAGTATTAGTGTTGGTGTTTGTATTAGTATTGAAGTTAGTTGTAAAGTTAATCTTAACAATAGAACAGTGACAGTGTTGGTGTGGTGATAGTCTTAGCAATGGTGTCTGTGTTGCTTTTAGCTCTGGTAATGAGCGATGTTTTGCCTTAACTAAAGATACCTCTAGACTCGTCATAGGAAAGTAGGCTTAATATTTCTCAACACTCTTGTGCTCATTTTCAAAGTCAATTCTTTTTATTTTTTAGTCATGAATTATTGAACTGGGTTATTACTTACATGCAATAAAAAAATCACTAACATCCAGGGAGGTATGAGAAGCGAAATGAGCTTTAGTAGCGAATGGGCTGCTAGGTGTGATTTCTGCTAAGGTAAATGATGCTTCCTACTTAAGCCGAGTTTATTAGAAATAGAAACTTATTAGAATTACTATTAATTATAAAAATTAGCATTTAGAACCACAAGGTTAATTAAAAGTAGGAAGTATGGTCTATTTTAAGTATGACTATTAACTCTATGACTGTCTCATTAATATGACTATATCATTAATACAGGAAATTTTTAACATCTGATATGTTACAAATCCTCAGTTCAAGATAAATGGACTCTCCATGACACAAGCTTTAACAATATCTCTTATAGATACTTTATAATGAAAATACTGAAAGAATTTTAATACGAAAGCTGATTTTTATCAAAATATATCTTTAAACCTCTGTAGTAAATAGTCGTAAATAAATGTTAGAAATTTGTTACATTTACCAAAAAAGACGACATGAACGACTTTTGACAAAGAGGATATTTTTATTTGTTTTATAAGAGTTGACATTTATGACATTTGAAAAAAAGGTTATTTTATTTGCTCCATAAGAGACGACATTAACGATATTTAAAAAGGGTACTTTATTTGTTTCATAAGAGACAATATTGACGACACTTAAAGTGCCCATGACATGTTTTTGAAAACATGATATAATAATAGTTTAGATGATTTCAAGAATATTCGCAATATATTTTATAATTGATAAATTTCATCTTTGTGGAGTTTGAGCACCTTGAAGTTGCGGATTTCGAACATTTATTCATACTGACCGTGAGTATAAAAAGACTGGTAATTAATAATGACCAATGGTGTGTAACGTCACATTGGGAACGCATTTCTGCTATTCTATAACACTATTATGGCAACACTAAAAGATATATTTTTTAAGAAGTTTGCTACAAAATTTTCCCGGTAAGATGCCACACAGATGCGTCGTGTTTGTATAATCAAACACATCGAATTCAAAGAAGGGGATTGCTCTCCATAGAATCCCATTTGTAAATGATACCAGACCAGAAGCAAAGAAACGTAGAAAAGCTTGGGTTAATTTTGTAAAAAAGAAAACGAAAAAATTCGGAGCCTTCTGCGTCTTCCGGAGTTTGCTCTGAGCATTTTGAAGAGGATGACTTTGTGCGCCGCTTTACTGGCGAGATGGAAGTGGGTAATTCGGATACACCGCTGCTTGTAGCTCCCACACATAAGAGGGATAACATCGGAATATTCGTTTGACCTTCAAAGCTTAATGAAACAAAAACCGTGTTATCAGAACGAGATCGCCATCGCATTGTGAGTTTTATATATTAAAAAGGCTATTTAAGGTCTTCCTATGATTTATGTGTTACTAACTTACGAAGTAATTTCACAAAAGTATTGATATAGGTATTTCACGCACGGCATGCAAATTATGAAGAGTGCAGCGTGAGTCAAGAAGCAAGCAATTTCGAAAATACAGAATCTTCTCAGCCTTGCACTTCTTTAAGTAAAGTATATACTGAAAGCACAGATGAATGTATGCAAACAAACACAATGACTTTCATTGATAAAACAGATTGCATTTTTCATAAGCCACTCAAACATCCTTGCAAATCAGCAAGTGTAATTTTGGTTTGCTCACTTTGAACGAAATTGAAATGAATTGAGTTAGATCTTGCAACATTGCCAATATATCTTTGCCGAATAATTTACCCTACATTAATAACTGCTTAGCAATTTACACTGATATTATAAATGCTGTTTCATTGGAGCAGTATAGCACAAGTGTAAATTCAAGTTCCCCTTTTAAGAAATATTTAATATTCAAACTTAAAGTATTTTGTAAAAATATTATTATAGACCTTGTAGCTTAAAATTAAGAAAATGTGGTTTATTTAAAAGAGTGGGTAAATGCAAATGACAAGTGCATCCAGACATTGCCACTGAAATGTCAAAACTGTGTGAAACTCAGAGGCAAGCTGCTCCAGATGAAGAGAAAGATGCTGTTTTATAAAGCTCAAATGAGATTTGATATGCTATTGTATAATGTAATTGATATAAGATGACAAATCTAAAAAAATTGTATCAGTTAGGGAATATTGATTAAATTTAACGAGCTAATATTTAAACTCATATGATAAAGTAGTTTGGCGAATTTACTTATGTTTTTGAGATCATGTTCAGAAAAATAACATCTTTGATGCTGCTCATCATTCTGATATATTTGATGAAGATAGTGCGGAGCATTTGGATAGTAATTCTGAGGATCAAATATCACAAGATTATAATACAGATGAGGAAACTGAGGATGAACTTTCAGCAAATGTAACATCAAGTAAAAAAGACAGTGATACAGATGATTCTGATGGAGAATGGACAAACTCTTTATGCTACTACATGCTAGATAGTAGTCCTCATGTATATATGACAAGGGTTGTTTCTGTGCAGTGTTTATGCAGCAAGTGATAGCGACCAAAGGAAGCAACCAAAGTACATAGTTTTTCTGTCACAACTAATGAAATGGTTTGATGTTTGCCCATCCTGTAAAAAGCCTGATGTCCTTATGGAAATGAAAGAATTTGGAACAATGATTCAAGTAGAGATAGCTGGCAACAATGTACATTGCAAACAACGAAGTAGCATTTGATCTAGCCAACCCAACATTAGGTTTTCAATGTCAACAATTTCTGCTGGAAACCTACTTCTTTCATTCGGAATTTTGAGTGGAGATGGATCTCCCAGCAAAATTTTAAAAATATTCCAGCACATGAGACTGCGGTGCATGTCATTACGATCTTTTTTAACTTTTCTAACTTTTTTTCACACCATGCTTTTTCTAAGCATTCATTTACATTGGAGAAAGTACAAAGAGTCATGGAATTCAGCATTAAAGAAAATGCAAGACATAGTTCTTGCTGGTATTCTGCACCATGACAGTATGGGCCATAGTGCAAATACTGTGCATACAGTATGTTCTGGTGCAACGGACCCATAAGTAAAATTTTTGATTTTTGTTTAGTGCAGGTATGTAAAAATAATTTGAGAATACCTTTTCCAAAAAACTGATCATATTTTTACATTGTTTAATTTTTTTACACTCTTTTCTAACAGCCCAGCAATGGTTTATCTGGCATTCACAAAGGTAATGGAAGGGCTTTTTAATGGATGGTTTGTGTATGTCAACCTTTATTTTAGATCGTGACACTTTTATTTCAAAACAAATAAAGGAGAAGCTCCCTAAAATAGCCCACTAGTTTGACTTGTGGCACTTGGCAAAGAGTTAACAATAACTGTGTTTATGTGTCTGGTTAGCTTTAAAGATATGTGCATTTTCTTTTTCTTGTTTTAAATCAGAAGTCAAAAAATTCTTAAAAAAATTGGAACCGAAAAAGATTGTCAGGAGCTCCTTCCTTGGGTGAAGCCATACGTTAATCATTGTATTGGAATGCAATGTCAACTGAAGATGGTAATAATTGCATGCTTATGTATGAGCAAAAGGACCACTTTAGCACAATATAATGAACTAACAGGCTACTGGATCAAATCTTGAGATCTTTAGGCAAGCACCAGGGCAAAACTGAACTTTTCAATTAGATATTTTAACTTTCAAAAATAGATGAACAGTTTATCATAAAATGAACTGTGCTTAAATATTCATCAGCAAATCCTTCTAAACTGCTGCTGCTGCTGCTTGTCTTTAGCAGAATTCCAAATTTTAAAAAAAATTTAAGCACTAGTGTCAGAAAATCAAATTTTATCAATTCAAAACTGCATAAAAATTTAAAGGTTCATAAATTAAATAATAGCAACATTCTTGAAGTACATTATCATTTTCAACATTTTCCAATAATTATAAAAAATCTTGAGATATTTACAAAATACAGTAAATAGGAATAAACCCAATACATTTAACTTAAGAAATAACTTTCTATACTCCATTTATAGCTTTATCAGTTAATTAGTATTTTGATCTCAATACTTACAAACATAATCATCAAAGGCACTATGTCCTTATTTCCATAACCTTTCGAAACTTGTTAAGATGTTTAGGTCTGTCTTCTTTTGTGTCATCAGTCTACATACACAATACATTTATGACTTTTTGAGCTGTCACTGAAGTATTTAGCTCCATCTTTTGAAACAAAGTTACCTCTAATAAACAATCTAGTTAGTTTGCAATTCTCGTTTTGCAAAGCGTCACAAAGATATTTAGCACCTTCATCATGTAGGTTGTTATAACTAATGTCTAATTCAGTAAGCTTACAGTTTTCACTTATCAAAGCTTCGCTAAAATATTGAGCACTTTCACAAGTTAGAATGTTTTCCCTGATATGCAATACAGAAAGTTCACAACTTTCAATTTTTAAAGCTTCACTAAGATATTCCACTCCTTGGTCTGTTAGTTTGTTGTGACTGACATGTAGTTTAGTAAGCTTACAACTTTTACTTTTTAAAGCGTCACTGAGATGCATAGCACCATTGTCTCCTACGTTGTTACTCCAAACATCCAATTCAGTGAGTTTAGTATTATCACTTTTTAAAGCATCGCAAAGAAATTTAACACCGCCATCAGTTATGTAGTTACCTCTGATATATAGTCCACTAAGTTGGCAATTATTGTTTCTTAAAGCTTCACTAAGGTACTTAACACCTTGATCTTTTAGATTGCTATAACTAATGTACAGTTCAGTGAGTTTACATTTGTCACTTGTCAAAGCCTCACCAAGATGCTCCCAAACACTCTCTGTAAAAGTACATGCAAAAAGACTTAAAGAGGTTAAATTGAGCGTTTCCATATTTGACAAAAAACTTTTCATTCTAAGACAGCTATGATTAACAAGCCATTTGCAAAAATTGAACCGGAGTTTAGTTATGCGTCTGCATTGAGAAAGAAATTCAAATAATGCGTTAGCATCAACGGGAGTAAAAGAAACGTCATCAATGACGATTTCTGCATCATTTGAAATGGAATTCTCTAGTGTCATACAAGCTGATCTAGTCGCATCTGTGTCTTGCATTTCAAACAAGCACCTAACACCAAGTAAGCTGAGCGTTCGATCACCGTCATTGAAAGTCAGATATGTCGCCCACGTCTCAAGTCTGCAAAGGTTAAAGAACATGACCAAATTTTAAATCAATGAATAGGGACATACTGCGCTCACAATGAGTCAAATTATATAATATGATTAGGAATTACAGTGGTGAACTAGCTTAAGCTTAGGCTACCTTATGTACTTAATATAACAAAATATGACAAACCATGCATAGTACGGGTAAAGCACTAATGCATTTCGAAAAGAAATGAAAAATAATAGAGACATGGCAGAGTGATTAAACCAGCAAAAAGGCTGCAAACAAATCTGTACTAAAGTTTGATTTATTGTCATGCTTGCCCATTAAACAGAACGTATCAAAAAAATGGCGAGTTGAAAGCATTAACGACAAAAGATTTTGTTCGGTCAACCAAATCACACCTTTTTTGAAAATCATTAATATTTTCTATTTTTCTTTCTCTCTTCATGACCCCAACTAAGCCAGCCACAAACTCTATCATCAAGTGCCATTTAGGATGAGCCACGTGATCATCTAAAAACTTTCCAATGTCTTCCCGGTCAACAATACACCACGCAGCTAAAAATTCTTGAAGAGTCAAATGTAGAAAACAATAAAGATTGCGTTGCTTATCTGGAATTTGATGAAACAACCCGCAATCAGTCAATTTAGGAAACTGGGCGAGATTTGTGCCATCAAAAATGAATTTTCGCTCATCAATTCCTTCTTTAGCTAAACTTTTGATTTTCTCTAATTCATTATTAACCTCATTTGGAAAAGGCTGTATAAGAGAACCATTGTTAGGGTTTGGTGTTGATTCAGATATACAACGCGGGTGGTGTCTCAATAGCAAGATTTGCACTGCTCTTTTATACAATTCGGTGATAGTCTTTGGTATATTCTCAGTATTATTTATAAAGCATTCCTTAAGGGTCAGACATACAATATAACAGTTAACTGGGATGTAGCATAAACTCCGAAGCTCTAGAGAACAAGAAATGCAATCAAAAATTGCTGTAGCTGTTCGCTCGTCATTAAAACAAAATTTGGAAACATATTCCTTGATTTGATCCTCAAAAAAACCTAAGATCTCCACAGTTCTTTTAAATTTTAGCATTTCAAATGCATGTTGCGCTGTAGGTCGTGATGTTACAAGAACAGTAACACCAGGCAGTAATCTACCTTCGATTAACATGCTCAGAAGTGCAAACGCTGACATTTTTGCATCAGCACAAACTGAACCTTCTGCTGTAAAATGTTCGTCGTCCAGAGGAAGTTCATCAAGACCGTCAAAAATTAGGACAGTTTTATCAGAATTTAACAGCACAAAATCATAAATTTGTGAAAATTGTTGATCAAGCAATCCAGAACAATTACCCAGCATTTCTCTGAGAGTAATGTCGTCTTCTTTAAACGTACGACATCGCATTAAAAGAACGAGTTTTTCATGCCAATATTCATCTGTATTTTTTTTCCATTCGTACATAAGTTTTTTTGTCAACATAGTTTTACCAATTCCTGGTCTTCCAACAACCAAAACTGACCTTTTAGGCAAATGATTTTGCTCACTATGGATTGACTTGAAGATTTCTGCCGCTCTTGTCAGTCTATTGGCATCTCCATGAATTTCAAGGTAACTCTTCAGGATTGAATGCCTTCCAAAATTTGTTGGATGAGCATTTTTTTGTTGTCTTTCCGCTTGCATTATGATATTGACATAAATATCATCAAGCTTTCGCCAAATTTTTTGATTATCTCCATAGTCATCATATACTTCAAATAATTTGTAGGTGTAGAAATTGTATTTTATTTTTCTCAGCCACTTTCGAAATCTCTCACGTTTCCTTAACAGATAAACCGTACAAAATTCTCTATCAGTTAGGAAAAAGCTATCTGTACAGCCTACATAAGCTAAATAACACAGCTCCAGAGCAGTCAGTATTAATACAATAACATCAAAATATGCAACAATTTTGATCAATATCTCACTTTTCCTTCCGTTGATATTCACACAATTGTACAACGTTACGTTGTAGGAGGTCGTTGGTTTGTTTAAGGAGTATATTTCTTTCATTTGAAAATGCCAATAGCAGGTGTAGTCAACAGGAAATTTGGCAGGGAGAAATATGACAACAAACACAGACAACATGACAAAAAGCAATGCCAATTTAGCGATGTAGATAAAATAGGTGGATAAACGACGTACAAGTCTTGATGAATAAGGACTGTCTTGATCATTCCTTGCAAGTAGTGCTTCATTGTCCTTGTTGATTCTGCTTTTTAAATTTAGCTGACCGCATTGCTTAACTTGATACTTCACAAAATATCCATACAACAACTTTAAAAGCATAATCAAGGCCAAATTCAAACAGATCACAAGATGAATAGAATCGTAAAAAGTAACTTCGTCTTTGTATTGTCTCAAACAATTTGACTCGATGCTCTTTATAAATAAAGCTTCTTTGGCCTTTGTTATGTCACTATAACAGTGAAATGAAGTGATAATGTGCAAATATATTGCAATACTAATGACAGGAGCACTAAATGTTAGAAGAAAGATGAGTAGCAATCTTCTGAACCAGGGAAAACTGTTCCATGGTGTATATTCAAGACATTTATCCATCTTGTCTTTTCAAAAACTACGTGCAGTCACCAGTTTAAAAACGTCTTTGACATAGAGCAAGTTTCTAAAATAAATGGTATATTTTCAATTATGCAATTCAAATGACAAGAGCTTTGAATGTACTAATGATCGGCAGTTTTTCTGAAAGTGAACGGTTAGTCATCAATTAAATGGGATATAATTTCGCATGTCTTATGCAAAACTCAAACATACAAATACTTTACACATATATCTATACACGACACTCAAATTAATAACTAGAGAGACAAAAATAATTACTAAACTACATAACTATATCACATTGAAATTGAATTAGAATGTTGTGTCAAAATTAATAACCGCCTACTTTTATCAACTTTCTACTGGAATTTGGATATAAAACACGTGCTATAAGGTCTATCGTCCATCAAATGTAGCTCAACGCCTTCCTCTGCTTTAATGGCAAATTTTCTTTGGAGGAAATAAGAAGAAATTATTTATCATAAATCAGGCATACCTTAAATACCTATGTCACACTTAAAAGATTGTGAAAGAAATCTGATTGATTATAATGCAACTACATTTGAATTTGCGTTTAAAACTGAAGTGTAAGCTATTTGGAAGGCAAAGATTTAGTTCACTAAAAGTCTCCCTTTTGTTACCAAATAATAAAAAACTGCTTTGGATGAATTCCAAGAGATAAGTGTTGTTTAACTTCAATCAAATAAAGATTCCTTTTTAAATGCTAGCTGACTAATATAACTATCATTAGCACTTACCAAGCATTTCTAATAGTTATTAAGTTTTTGACAACATTTAGCAAGCTACCTGTTATAACTACAAATCATCGCACGAAATGTTTAAATGCTGTATGAATTACACACCTCAACAACTGCTCGTGATAACACATATCTCCTGAAAATAAGATAAGTTTATACAAACAAATTATTAACATGTTCGCCTATTTACTTACGGCTCACTGACATCAGACACCAAAAGACATCATTCTACTCTTTAGCCTTTAAATTTGTGACAAAATAATGGACACTGAAATAAAATTGACTTGCGTCAGCTGATTTCAATGTAGCGTGGGTGGCACCTAAATTGTTAACAAATAAGATTCTTGTCAGATCACTTTTCCGGCATTTGAAATAACTGAAATATTTTAAAACGAAATGAAAAACAACAATAATTAGAGAGTTATTCTCCTTGTTTTATTGAGTAAGATAAAAAAAAAAAAACAGCCAAAGACTCGTTGTATCTTGATGGTTCTAGCTTGTAAACGTTCGTTGTTTGTCAGTAGCGATGATAAGGTTAGTTCGTTTGAGATCCGTTTGGTGCCACGTATTTTGAATTGTGCGTAACGTGCGTTGAACTAAAATACATGCAACGCTATTATTATCAAATCACAGCACTTGCGGTTTTGTTCGTTGTACAAACTTTAGATTTGATTGAAGATTGCTACAAATTTACACATTTAACAACACTTTGTTTTGGGTTGTTATTCACATCGCAAAGATCATAATAATTTCAAATTACCTCTATTATATGAGTGAATAAACAAAACAAATAGACAAAGATAAATAATGAAAAAGACATTTTGATGAACACTAGTAAGTTAAAAACGGTGTCATCAAACTCTACGAGACGTACATCATCAAAACATGCGAAAGTACCTTACTGTGTTGCATTAAGCGAAGCAAAGTTTTCAACCGGTTCCTTTGCGAACAACTTCAATATCGATGAATATAATGAAGATATAAATACTTTTATTCCAAAGCCATCATCAGAGAATATATATAATATATTAATCCTAACACGGTTATTAAAACATGTGCCATCCAGTAAACTGCTATCGTGGCGAGAATCTCTTGTCCATACGCAGTTTAAAAGAGATTTGACTCGTCTCCAATCCCTGTGGGCTTGGGAGCTCAACAGATAGAGCGGCGGACTAGTATCCGAAGGGGCGAGATCAAATCCCGTCCAAGTCACATTTTTTTCATAAACCTTGTTAGGATTAATATATTATATGAATACCTTTGTTCTTACTTTCTTGTAAATTTGTAATTCAAGTATTTTTCTTCTAAGCCTTGCACGACTGAAATTGTTGTCGTCACCTTCAACTTTCAAATTTCAATACAACTTGGTCTTATGTTTCAGTCGTTACAAAGCCTAGAAAGCAGAGCTTCGGGGATAAACTCTCTACCGGGTTTCCTTTACATCTCATAAAAATTTTGCCTAATCAGAAGTTTGTAGAAGGAATAAAAACGTGAAAACTGTTTTTTTGTAATACAAATGTATAGTAAAGTGGGACTAATACCCCTCATGATACCAGTAGCAAATGATCGAACTTCAGGCTTCAATTTTCACACGGGATGCGTTATCTACTTTAATATACATATGAGGGATTGTGTGCAATAAAGTAACATCGAATAAATTGACAAATTTTAACATTGTAATTGCCGAACTGTAAGCCGAGTTATCACCGAAGGAAAATTTGCTGAATGTTACATTCATGGAATGGACGAAAGACGAAACCTTTCGCATTTCACGTAAATAAGCAAGCAATGAGATGTTTAACAACCAATACATTAAATAAAATAATCGAACCGGGAAAGCAGTCATTGAATTTTCCTAAGATATTTAACTTGTAAGAAAACTTACGCTTGGGCAACTTCCCTGACGACGAGGTAAAGGAATAAATGAAAACAATGAAAAACTTTGTGTGCAGATTGTGTCGTTACCGCCTTACCGGTAGCTGATAAATTGATGAATATAAGTAAAGATGAAGACTCCGATCAAGCAGAGATTAATACCGCCTGAGAAGAAATTGTGACTCCGATCCAGAGAGAAGTTTGATAGTTTTTCATCTCGGTTTTTCACATTGTAATGCAATAAGCCTAAAATTCTTATAATAGTTAAGGTGTAAATGTAATTTAAAAACTGCAAGGTCGAAGTTAGCGCACTTTACTAAGGACATTTTTGATGATCACAATAGATGAAAGTTAAGTTAATGCGATAAAGTTAATGTTTGAACTAGCAATGATATTGAAAGAAAAATAGCTGGTTTTTTCAAATCATCTTTACCCCAACCAAAGCTTAAATCAATATTTGGAAGAGCAATACGTTATGAATAAGGGACGAGGTTGATTAATGTCCATAATTTCGTAGAAGCACTATTCCTAATGCACATTTGATGAAGAACACAAATTTTTTAAAGATAAATCTGGTAAGGAAACTATTCCATTGTAACATTATGGTTACATTATTTACGACATTACTTTGTTAACATTATTATGGTAACATTATGTACGACCAAGCACAAAAATAAGACGGAATGATTTCCTTATCAGGTTTATATTCAAATTGTTGTGGTCTACATAAAATTCGAAAAAAATTTTTGCAAGCAGTTGCTGCTATCTGAGAACAATCACATCATGTAGCTATGAGTACAAAAGACTTAAGAATGCCTTATGGTTACTGTGACATGAAGACATGCTATATGATTGAATATCATGCATGAATTTTACGGAATTGTTATTGCTTTGCTAAGCATTCACTCTTCTTACTTGATAAAATTGTTTAATTATATTTGCGTAGTATAGCTAGTAGTTAGCAAATAGCACAACAAAGTTCATGGCAATGCTATCTCACTAGCAGCAACATATTTTGTCTCCATCGTGTTTTGTTTTACGTCCTTTACTGAGCCTAACGCTAGCAGCAATCCGAGACATAGTTTTTCATTGTTTGAAGGCCTTCGTATTAGTCACATGTGATTTGTGAATGCAATATGGCAACATGACAGAAAAAAACTCATTTTCAAGCTTGGGCTTATGTCCGGTAGCCCACTTAATAATTATACTTTACTTATTCCTTTTAAACAAGCTGTATCTTCAGAGATTGTCTTTGCGTTTGTATGTAACTTATTTCTTATGACCCTGAGAAAAAAATCTTTGCTTTATATATATTTTTTATCTACCTACAAAGAGATCTAGCGATCTACATTTAAGATTTTTGCGTTTTAATGTATTATATTATAGAAAGGACTAGAAAATCTCAATATTTGCTTGCAGGAAGCTTGCAAAATGAGCTCGTTTTTGTCTAAAGTAAGTGTAAACAAAAATTATTGCCTGTGCGGTTTAAGAAGCTGAGCATCATCAGCAATATACATTATTGTATGCATCTGTATTCCTATTTCTTTTGCAAAGGTTGCATGTATCACTTCAGGAAGAAAAAAATTTACTTTGAAAAAAAGTAGCTGACTGTTTGCAAAACTTTTTACAGCTTTGTTGCTATGGAGCTTTTTGAATTCAAAAACATAAACATAGAATTGAAATATGTTTGCTGCTTTTTTATGTGGGCGCTTTTCACATGTGTTTTTCCAGAGCTTGGTTGCCTCGCTCTAAGAAATACAAAAAGAAATATATATATATTATTTTCCACGGATTGATACTTTCCCAATCTATCAAACATAACCCAAGAAGTTTATTTCCGTTGCATTTCTTTCCTTTCTTTGTATCATAGTTTCATTTTTTTATGAAAGCACTTTAACAATTAGAGCATAAATTTAAACAAAAAAAAAACAAACTTTTAATCTATTCATGTTTCGGCAATTTTATGACATCTTCAATAAAGGATTCTTAAGTTACAAATATTAGCAAGCTTAAGTTACAATATTGGCAGTTGGTGAAAAGCCCATTAAAACAGACAATTTGCTCAGAACAAAAAGGTCATGTCATGTTCAATCAAATTTAATTAAATCAAGTTATGTTTTAATTAAGTTTGATTTTGAATATCTCATGCTCCTTGTGCAACCGATTAAAAACACGACTTTTATTAACCGCTCTCCCGTTGTGCAAATTAATTTTTCTAATTGTTTTCACTGTATTAAGATGCCAAAATAACTTGGCGTGAAGATAATCTTCAGGACGTTTTAAATTTCTAATTGTAAACACTTTGTGTACTATGTAAAATTTCTTCACTACAAAGAAAACCTTTCCCTGTGTATGTCCCTGTATTAACAGACAACAATTACTTTGTTGTATAGCATCCTTTGTAATGTAATTGCTTTAGATA